GTATGAAAATCCTGCTTTAAAATATTAATTTTTGCAAGTAAGTTGGATTGTTTTAATGATCATTTTACAGTCCTCCCTAAATCTGCTGTATTCAGTCTCCAGCTGAATCAAAATGCTGCTACTCGTATCCTCACAAGTAAAAATATAAATACATTATACCTACTCTAAAATCTCAAAACAGCATTATGTGGCCTTGCGCAACAATATAAAGGAAACTTATGTCTTTAATAATATATTCTGTATATATATATATATATATATTTTTTTTTTATTTATTTTTTTTTTATTTATTTATTATTATTTTATATTTTTAGCAAAGAAATGCAAATGTTCCTTATTATATTATATGGTTTGTGTACAAAAGTGTTACATTTATGCTTTTGTTCTGTATATATTGTTCTTCTGTTTTAAGTTCTTAACTTGAAGCACATTGAGTTGCTTTATGACTAAAATAACAATTTAAAATATGTCAACTAAACAGCAAATAAACTTAAATGTCATGACGTAACATGTTTTACTGCGGTGACCTGGCACATAAGTGGACCAAGACCAAGACATAAATGCCTAAAGTTAGAAAAAGTTAGCATAACATTGCAAATGGTCATATTTTTACAATCAGAAAAGTGTGATTTGAACTTACATCAACTGCTTTTCCATGTTCTACATTCTTTCTTTCACAATTTGATAAATATGCTCAAGGGGAAAAAGAATGACTGCAGCCAGGACGGCAAAGACACAATCACAAATGTTTTTACACGTTCCTCATCTCATTTTGCAGTGTATTGTAGCCATTCAGAGGGTTCAGTTTGTATGACAACATGGAACATTAAACAAAACACAAACATATTATTGGTGGTGATGGCTCATCTGCTTCTCTACTGCTTTCAGTAGTCGGAGGTGGCTAGGAGCTTTCACTAGCAGGTGTGCTCACTAAATGGGCCGAGACGTTTACTGATTTCTATCCAACTAAATGCTACAATTGTAGTTACTGTTTCATTGAACAACAGTGATCAATATCACACACTGAATGGCCACAATTAGCTCATTAAAAGGTAATGAAGTGTTGCGGTCATGGGCCCATATTACAGACTGTAAATACACACAGTCTTGAGCTATGCGGTTAATGAGGCTTAATTTGGCAGACATTGAATGTTTCCGTCTTCAGCGTTCAATGCCAGGAAAATAAGACTGCACCCATGGGTGGTCTTTCAATGTGGGAACAATTTGATCCAAATGTCTCTCATGTAAAAAGGAAAAAAGTAAGTGTTCTCCGCAACATCACTGAACTTACAGCGAAGCTTAAATCACTCGTGGGTCTTTAGATAGTCTTCTGTTCTGCATGGAGGGTCTTTCGCTTGGATAAAACATGTGGAAAACGTTTTCTGGTTCTTTCCTTTTCATTTAGCACCAGTGAAGGCCAGTTTAAAGCTGAATACTAAATGACTACAGTCCTACTTGTTAAAAACATTAATGTTAATACTACCTGACAAAACAAGCTGCATCCCTCCAGAAATGGGTTCTCTCACTGAACATAAAAGTAAAAGGCTTCATCTGAACTTAGACTCGCATAAGCAAAAAAAAAAAAAACTTTTCATGCAAGATATCATCTTCCCTTTTGGAATGTGGAAAAAAGAAATGTGATTACATTATGAAGTCAGTTAAAAAGAAGCATGCCTACGTTTATAAAATCTGTTGTTTTTGTGCCAGCATTATTTCAATAATCATTTTGGATAAAAGCTTCTGCTAAATAAATATAATAAAGTATTTTAAAAAGTCTACTTACGGTGCTTTAGAAGTTTTTGTATAAGGGCCACAAAGGTGAGTTTTTTTACACCTTTTGCATTACTAATGGGAATAAATTCATCGAGTTTTACAAAGTGTAGTTGAAAGTTTTATTTCCTTAACCTTATGGTGTAAAACCTGAAGTAATTCAGCCAATGGAACAAAGCGAAGAGGACAAACCTTCTTGTAATTAAAAAATAAAAAGATAAATCCAGGACATGTGACAGAAACCCGGAGATGTTTTCCTAGACTGAATTTCCAAGAATTTAGATGTATGTCTGCAGCCAACTGAGACCATTTTTTTTAGATAGCATTGACCGCAAAATGTGTTTTTCTTCTCTTTAGTTAAATAACATGGACCTTTTGCAGGCAGTTTCACTGATTACAAGTTCAGATGATCTGAAGGAAATGATATAATTCAAAAATAAAGAATTACCTCATTGTTGTTAAACACAAAGACCTGTTTAGATTATCATGAAAGTCTGTAGGGCCTAATTTTAATGCATCAGATATTGCATGAGCAGAAACCACAAGCTCACATAGACGCTGCTAATTTTTGTTTTGCAATACATTTCGTGCAAGTTACTGGTTCAGCTCAAGTCTCTTTGCAACGAGCAAGTTAAGTCCAAATTCATGAGAAACAACTGCGATTGGGATATTTCTTCTCACAAACAGCTTTCTGTTGTGGATCATACTTGTGTATTCCTATACACTGATATTTGACTGCCTTTATATTTTTTAGTAACGTACCTAAATGAAAAAATATCTGGTGTGTTGCTGTAACAAAATATATTATCGCATACATTTATTGATTATCTCTCAGCTTCGATCTAAGCTTCAAACATATCTAAACGGCATATTGTTCGATGTCCATAGAAGCTAAACAATACACACACAAAAAAACCTAAAAATCTAAACAGGAATGTTCTGAAAAAATGGAAATGACTTCTTGAACATTCTAGGAAGCAGCAAACTAGTCTAAATATATGAATGCATTTAAATGGTCATTAATGACCCTCACTGGTCTCCCAGTGAAGAAGATTTCCACCGGTGTAGGAGCTGTACTTTTTACTCTCCCAAGTGGTCTGGCTTTATATTAAAAACATATGGTCTGTGTGATTGATGCATTTTCAAATCTGAAGTCAATGTGTTTAACAGGAACTTCCTGACAATCCTACTTTTGATCTCATAAAAACCTTGACATTTAAATGTGCTTTTGTACTTTAAAACTATCACTGTTTCACTACAGACATACGTCTCTTTTAGCATTGGCTATTCAAAGCTTACAGAAATTATTTCACTTAAGATCATGCTCTAAGTTAGCAACTGCTGCTACAAACAATCAGAAGTAAATGTCACGATAAAATAAATGTAAAAATATAATCCACAACACCTTCTCTCCTGGTTGTCCCGGCTGTCCTGGTAATCCGGGCATGCCCCTTTCTCCCTGACAAAAAAATAAAATAAAATTGTATTAAAAACACTTCTAATGGTCACAAAGTGGCTCATCAGTGATTTGAAACTAATTGTGCTGCAAATATGGGTTTTGACCTTCCTACCAAAACACCTGGTCTCCCTTGCTCGCCTTTGTATCCATCTGCTCCACGTGTCCCCTGACAAAAAAAAAAAAAAAAGGTTTGCACTTGATAATATTCAGGATAAATTGTTGATGTATTTAAACTGATGATTGCGTTACCTTTATTCCTGATGGACCTGGCAGCCCGGGACTTCCTCTAATGCCGGGGATACCCTAGAGAATTAACAGAAGTTACATGTAATTAGAAGCCATTTTAAACGGTAGATGTTTGTGCATGCCGAAGGCTGTGCAAAATTATTCTGTCTGTACTTTTGACTAAGCAATGGACCATGTGGTTTATACAATCGCATGTGGTTATAAGGTTCACATTCCTGAAAAATCACGGTGCAAATACCGCTGGAATACAAATGTTGTTAGAAATGATCAAAATGGACAAAAATGTAAAGATATATTTCAAATCACTCTCCTCGATATGAAAGATTTACAGTAATAAAGTTTATACGCAGACCTTAATGATCGAGTCTTAAATATTTATTTGCTGTGATTTAAAGATGCTTGTTATGCAATCCAACATTTTTCATCTGGACAGTTTCTTTTTTGTGCTGAAATGTTTCGCCTTCGATCCGGAAGGCTTCATCAGTCAAGGAAACGCACAACAAAACTGATTCTTACCCCAACAGCTTACTCCAAAGTGGAACAAACAGTTCTGCTTGAGATTTGTTGTGTGTTTCCTTGACTGATGAAGCCTTCCGGATCAAGGGCGAAACGTTTCAGCACAAAAAAGAAACAGTCCAGATGACCTTACTGAAAAATGTTTTATTTTATACCTGGATTATTGAGCATGGACTTTCTTGTTATGTAATGTTTGCATTTAATGCATTTACTGAAGAAGATTTGCTCTTAGTTAAAATGAGCAAAACAGTTTCCTGTAACTTAAAATATAGCAACTGTATAAGACAAGACTGCACATTATTATAATGAATCCCTGTAAATCCTTCCATCTATTTTCTGCTGCTTATTTCTGGTTGGGTTATGGATGTGACAGGTCCAGGAAGGAAACCCAGACATACATCCCTTTCCCCAGTGACTTTCTTCAACTCCTTCTGTAGAATCCCACAGTGTTCTCATCTCTCGAATGAGCTCTGAGTCTGCGTTAGGGTCTCCTCCAAGTGGGAAGTCCCTCCAGGGGCAATCCCAATCAAATACCAAACCACCTCAACTGAGTCATTTTGAAGAGGAGGAGCATCTCATTACTCTGAGATCCCCCTGGATGGCAAAGATCCTCACTCCATCTCTAATGTTGAGGCTGGCTATGCTGTGCAAGAAAAGAAGACCATTTCCATTGTTTGTACATGGATTTTGTTCTTTTGGCTATAATCCACATCTCATGACCGAAGGATCATTGAAAGACCAGATCAAGAGATTTGCCTTTTGGTTCAGCTCCTTTTTTTTAAGCATGATAGACCAAAGTAATGCTTTCATTTTTGCAGGCAAGTACCCAATTTGAAAATCCCTCTCGTGTTCCATTTATCATTACCTAAGAAGAAAACTTAACTCCTCCACTTGAGAAGCTCATTTTCGCATTCCACCTTTTTAGACTTAGAACCGTAGAAGCTGACTGTCATCCCAGCTGCTTCATACTCAACTGCAAACTGTGCAGGACATGCTGAAAGTCATGGTCTGATGGCACCAACAGCACCACAGAATTTGCAAAAAGCAGAGGCGGGATCTAAACCAGACACCCACAGTTGTGCTTTGTAATCATGTCCATGAACGCTTCAAACAGGACCTTGGACAAGGGTTAGCCACAGAACACTCCAATCTATACCATGAATGAGATCAAACTTGTGCCAACAATGTGACAACCGGTTTCGTTTTGGTCAGGATAGTCCGTTCAAGCAACCTGACATCTTGTATTGCTGCAGCAACCTCCACCGAATGCTTCAAGGACCACAGTTGAAATCATTCTCCACAAAACTCCCTCGGCAACTTTGCCATGGTGATGATCTGGTTCATTGTTCCTTGACATGCATGTCCCAGTGAAACATGTTCCCTGAATTTTTCATTTAAATATATGCAAACAAAATCATGTTTTAAGTTAGAGATAAACAACCCCAAAGTGTTTAAAACAGTCCACGTCATACATGACTCATTTTGGCCTGACCCTAAGGATAAATTGACATTAAACAATTTCTCCATTTGTTGTTGAGAGTGCAGCTACTTACAATTATGTTCTGTATGTTTGTATATTGATTTATATAGTACTCACAGGCTTACCATCAGCACCAGCAGGTCCAGGCTGCCCAGGCTTGCCAGCGCTACCTTGTTCTCCCTGAAAAAGGACAAAAAGGTGATTCAATTATTGTAAATCTTAAAAGCAGTACAATGAATCCATTTAAAACATTAATTGTGGCAACATGTTGTCCCCTGGGTGGGTTTTATTCATCTATAAACTTTGCTGAGTGTGCATCTAAAGTGAGATGTAATGCGTGGGGCCGTATGAACATCTGCAAACCAGTAATGCTGCCAGCATTTTGGGTCCATTAGTAAATGTTGTAAAAGATTACTGGTGACCTTATAAACAACAACAAACAAAAACAAAATGTAAAAAAAAAAAAAAAAAACCCGCAACTTAACTAAAATGCTTGAAACCGTACAGTGGGTTTCAATTAGACTGTTTTTTTCTTTGTCAGTATCTCCCTGGGGAATGTTTGTACTGACTGTTACTTGGTTGATTTGCTGTCATCAGCAAAGACAAACATGTAGGCTCCATTGCCTCCTTAGTGATTTTCCATTCCAACTATTATTATTTATCTTGTGCAGTGGTCTGGTTTGCTTCAGACAAACAGCACATGACCGTACAAGAATAAACACATCTATTAAAACTGACAAGCCTCAGTTTGCCTAATTATGATAAATGTCCACTTTGTTCATATATGATATCTTTCAGATTTCCAGCACTGATTCCACGAGTATATTTCCAGATTAAACTCAGATTTCCCCAAAGCAAACTATCACTGACGGAGAGAAAATCTGTTTCAAGGCTATAATAATGTTAGTTTGTTTTGAAGTACTTTAAAGTACAACCTCAAGTGCTCAATGTGTGAACATTGGCTGCATTCAGATGATTTATTTTTTTTTTTTTTGGTGATTTTGCACATTTTTCATGAAAACTGTGTTGCAAGAACGTTTAAGTTCTGTTTCAACCTCTGCTTTCCAAAGTTTACATACAAACCTACAGTTAAAACTTTATTCATTTTTGTATTAAAACTCGTAAGTCTGGCACAGTTTAAAGAAAAAAGCTGTCAGACACCAATAAGCTGGGCAAGAGTTGCCTATATTTGATGTATGTGTGAAGAACTGTTTTATAGCTCAATATTTTACAGTGGCTTATTGAAGCTTGTGGAAAAATAAAATAAAATAAAACATGGCACCAAATAAAGAAACTGAAGAAAATGGAAAAACTAACCTTTGTTCCCGGAGCTCCAGGGGGTCCAGCAGGACAAACGCAAGGTTCTTGTGTTGGTTCAATATTATAAGGGCACTATGACAAAGAGGTAAACATCTCATTAGGCCCACAGAGTTGCATATATAATATTCTTCATAGTGCAAATGCCAAGCCGGGGTTTGGATTTGCACCATGTGAAAGACACTCCTGTCAGCTGAATCAAATGGTGTATTTTTATAATCAGAAAGGAACTGCTAACTGAATTAGCAAACAACAAAAATATAAAAGCAATATTTAATGGGAAGCATTTGTGGATTTATGCTCTTGTCTCTTTTGATATCTCTTTTCATCAGCTTTGTATTAATAACCACAATTTAGCACTGTTTTTGTGGTTATAGCAATTTCTGAGCCAATCAAACACAAGCCAGCGGGCAGGAAAGTATACAGTGCATGTTTGATGCAACGCCAAATGTCTTTTGCCAACAAATTGTTTTATCCATTACAGATGTGACTTCAAAATCTGTATGGAGATTTTACTCCTTTATAATATTAGCCAAATAAACAAACAAATGATAAAAAAAAATCCTATAGCTGTAGCATTAATGAAACATAAAAAAAGCAAACACTATATTGTGCCTTGCTATAAAAAGTATGGCTTTAAAACATAAGAAATTGCTTTGCTACACTTTCAGAGTGTGCATCTTGGAGCTGAAACACTGAAGGTGAGAAGAAGGCCAAAATAAGTGTTTTATTAATGGAAATGTGCAGAAGTAAGTTGATTTGTACTTACAACTCCAGGTATTTCACACGCAGTCTCTCGGTTGTTCTGCTCAGGGTCACAGTAAATGCGAAGTTTCTGAATTTCAAACTAAAAAAAATGAACAAAGGGAGAAAATAGTGTCAAAAACACAACGTCTACTGCTGGGAACTCTAAATCAAGCATACAAAACAAACCGATTTTACCACGGGAGTGATTGTGCAACTTCAGGTTGAGTTTTATCCGTGCTTTGCCTCTAACAAATTGAAATTATTGTAACTTCCAAATGAAAGGTAAATGCCTCAACTGGGCATTGAGCAGCTGCATGTTGCCAGACCTCCCTCAGTGTTTAAAAGCAGAAACATTACAATGTTCTTCCATGATTTAAAGATTTGTTGATGATGGTTGAGAAATGAGTCCAGACCATCTTATGAAGTTTTACTTAAGTCCCCGTGTGAGTATAAAAAGTTATCCCCAGGTAAAATTTAGATCCGTTCTTAATCACCTAGTTTGGGTTCAAATAAATGTTCTTGTGCTAATGTGTGAACACATTAGCTGGCACAAGGGATGTAAAAGTCTTGTATAAATTATGCTGTTCTTATGTGTGTTTGTGTGTGTAAAGTCAAGAAAAATGCACAGACATGATAAAAAATCTTACAACGATTTGTTTCAATGTTAGTTTCTTCTATGTATTACAAGATGTGTTATAATGGTATGTTATTTTTCTTGTTGTTGCTTTTTTTGGGGGCGAGTCGAGACGGTTCTTCTTGTCCTCAGTATTTCATTGCATTGTTGACCTTGTGTTGATTTTGCATATGACAACTAAACCTAACCTGAACTTGTCATGACATGGTTGCAGGCCTGATAAAGAACTGAACTAACAACAGTGGCGATGCTCCTCAATCATTCAGCTTTGTGTTCACACATGAAAAACAAGCCACGTAAAAAAAAAAAAAAAAAAAAAAGTCAGTTAGTAGTATTTTTTTGTATGTTTTTAGTATGGGTGGGATAGGTGAAGCACCCACACCTGTCTCCACCCTAATGTGTCCCACTCTGGGCCCTTGAGCAAGGCCCTTAACCCCCGCCATCCAACACGTTGAAAACAGGTATTCTCTGCACGATACATTTCCCTCAGCTTTATTTTAATTAAAACATATATCTGATAATGTATCAATACAAATTTATTTTTTATTGCATCGATTTGATTGATTGTCATACTTACAGGAACTGTTGTTTCCTTATTGACATATTTTCCCACTTGTGTCTTTCCATTAATAAAAATGCCGACAGAGGGCTGCAGTGGTAATGTTTCGATCTCCAGGTCGTCCACATATAGAGTCACATCCTCTTCTGTGACCAGTAGTCGCAGCTGGTGCCACTTTTCATCAAACAGTTTCTTTAGAGAAAAATAATATTGAAAATTTGTCATTTGCATGTAGGCACATCCATGACTAATAAAACCTTGTGTATTATGACGCAAAGAAAATAGTTAAGAAACTCCCATTTCTCAGTATCTCAAACCTAAAGCACATTTTAGACTATAAGCATTAAATATGCATTTTCTTTCTTTTCTTTTTTAATAAACTGACATCATAGAAAGCAGCCATGACACAGTTGGATAATGTGAATATATTGTAGAAGATGTGTGCACTTGAGAAACATTAAGGATCAGAATTGGAACATCAGATTTCAATAGAACAGAAAGTGGCTTTCTACATCGATAATGTGAAGCTTTGAATAACTTGTTTAAAATATTTCTCTAAATTAAACATCCATTTCGAATCCAACAGCAGTCACATGCCGAAGTGTCCCTTGGCAAGACACTGGACCCCTCGTTGCCTCTGATGTGTGTCCCATCGGTGTATGAATGTGATAAAGCTCTGATTAGTCTCTTTAAAATGATTTGTGCACAGATTGTGTTGTAAAGTGCTTTGAGTATCTGGATAAGATAGAAAGGCGCTATATAAGTACAGTCCATTTACAGTCCATTTACTTATTTGGGGAAAAAATAACGTCATTGTAGTGAACCAGATGACCTCAAATCTACCAGATGGACAGAGACTGTTATTTTCATTGATCTGAATAAGTCTGGGCCATCTGATGACTTTCTTTCTTGAATTAATCAAGCAGAAAAGACAATTCTTTATAATCATTACTGTCTTACAAATGTTTTGATAATCAAATTGTGTTAGTTCACTCAATGCTTATAGGTTGAAAAGAACTACTCATCTTTATTTTACATAAACAGTAAGTAATGATTTTTATTCCTCATTCCAAGAAGAAATCACCTGAATAAGCATTCCTTGATTTTCTGTCTGAAATGAGTCAAGTCGTAAGTATGTGAAAGGTTGGTTTTCGGTCAACTAAAATGTTTACCGAGAAAAATGTCATGTTTAAACTTTTTCAGAAGATTACCAAGAGTTGACTCCACGAAGTCTGCTGTTGCTGCAATAATCTTTTCTGTATGTGAAAACAAATTTCATTCTCTGACCTCGACTGTTGATAAACACCTTACGTCAAAACCACTCCTCTTTCTGGTCCTTCCACGAATCAGAAAGCTCTAAATTGAACAGGAAGTCGACCCAAATAAAATGTGGCAACTTCTCAGTTCATGTTAGATTGAGAGTTCTGGAGAACGTGAGAGTTCCAAGATTGAGAGTGCAGTCGGTTCTGAAAGCTTCAGAGCAATGAAGAATCCAGAGGTTTTTTGGGGATTATAATTCTGTTTTGAGCTAACCACGCACGACTCTCTGAAGGTTTGGTAGCTCTCGACGGAGACGCTGAAACGAGTCAGAAAGGAACTACTCCAAGGCTGATTCATCATCAACAGGTAGATGGTTCTATTTTGACCAAGTGTACCGTGAGAAGCTGAGATCGGACGGAGCGTGCAACTTCTGGTCAAACAGATTAAATTCCCTCACATATTTCCTCTGTAAGATAAATCTCAATTTAATCTTAAACTCTTCTCTCTCATAAATCAGTACAGATATTTTTAGAAATGTCTGAAGCAAAGTCCTCAAATCACCGCCGAGTGATTTGAAGTTCATTTTCTGTGAAACTGTCTGTTATTATTTTCATATTTTGCCAAATTAATGTAAATGTTTGATGTTAAACTTTGATTTTGAAAATAAATGATTCCATTCATTTGATGGGTCAAAGGTAATAACGTCTCTCGTTCGCATTCCTTTAAATTCAATGCACGACATTACACAGTCAGAAAAATGAAGAACTCGTGAATATTGTATGCATATATAATTCATATATTTGTCATACAACAAGTGACACGTATCTCACGTGACTCACTACATCATTGTAAGGCTAAATACAGCACATTGCCTCAGTTACAGAAAGTAAAGAAATGTTCATGTCTCTAAAAGTAGAACAAAAAGTCATTTTTAGTTCTAATGGTAAGGAAATTAAGTTAATACATTTTTAGAAGTACTCAACTAAGATGACCTTAAGCTTTGTAAAAACCCATAGACAATAGTTAAAACTCAACATTATGGAATTTTTAATTTTCAATTTGCTCCACTGGTGGCAAAAATATTACATATTATTTAATAGCAATAGCCAAATAAATAAATAAATAAAAAATCACCATGTAGCCCAGAATTTATAAGGTGTACTGGAAGTTTTGGAAATAATTCTAAACTTTTTTTTTACTATGGTCTGTAAATGACTGCAAATGCATTTGACTGTTTTTTACTTAAGTTTAATGATGGGATGAACAAAAGAAAATGTATAACATCTGAGGTTTTAGTCATCTTTAGTAATTAGCTTTTCAAAGCACATTTGTTAAAATGTAAACAAGTAAACAAGATGTTGGAAAAGCCTCATTTAACTGGATCCAGAAGGACCTGAGAGACAACATGACTACCAGTAAATGGCTAACAGCTGCTTCAACAATGGAAACAATGCAAGAAAGAAGGATGCTATTCCGGTATTTTGCATGCACCTGCAAAAAAAACTGGTCTCCAAAGTCTTCTTCGATCCAGCTTCACGAAACCGTGCCAAATGTCTGGATACTGTTTGTGTTTTCTACCTCAGAAACATACTTTTATCAGCACATAAAAGTGCTGCTTTCATTCACTGCAACAGTGAAACCTCACAATTTCCTCTTTTGAGTTATTATTGTGTTTAAAGTTGTGGTCACACAACAATCTGGAGACCTACATTCCCTCGCTTGATTATTGTGAGGCCATGCTGCTGATCATGTGGCCATGCAGAGTATTACTGTAGCCACACATCACTAATGTGTAGGCATGCAAGACTATAACCACCAACGCCAAAAAAGGAGCCTCAACAGATTCAGAGGATTTGTGCTGAAATAACCTGTCTTCTCATGCTCGGAGAACTAATGCTGAGAGATAAAATCACGTTTTTATATTTCATTCAAAATATTTTGGCAACACTTTACAATAAGGTACATAAAATTTGATTAACTATTACGGAATGCCTCAGGAACAAATCAGAAGCTAATGGCTAACCAGCACTCCCCTAACAAGGCTTGGCTTTATGTTCCCCAATGAGGACAGGTTAACTACCCATTAGCTCCTGATTCGTTCCTCCTTGATTTCCTTGGTAACTACCCATTAGTTCATGATTAGTTCTGCTTCATTTCCCTGGTAACTAACCAGTAGTCCCCTAATAAGACTTGGCTCTGTGTTCCCCAGTAAGTACTGGTTAACTACCCATTAGCTCCTGATTTGTTCCTGAGGCGTTCCCTAGTAGTTAATCAAATATAGTGTACCTTATTGTAAAGTGTTACCAATATTGTATGCTCCTTATTTGAGATATTCTACAGTGAGATATACTGGTAATTGTTCTTTTTGTTGTTGTAGGTATACCTAAAGTCTAATAACTACAGGAGGCAGAATTATGACAGCTTTTACTTAAAACATATATTCACTTGAAATAGTTTCTTTGCACATGATGTGTTTGCATGACTCTCTTGGGTTTGAAAGTATCCCTATTTTTATAACACTACTGTCCCAGTTTGGAATGCAGGCTTTGTGCCAAAAGTTTGACTTGACTGAAGCAGAGATAACCCTGACAGGATCAGTAAGCATCATCTCAGACCGGCCAAAGCTCATGATGAAACCCTGAACATACAGCCCCAATCTGTTTTGTTGCATATGTTTAGAATCTTATCTGTGTTTAACGGTTGAGGATTCAGTGGATTGACGTAGCCAGCTGTTGATGCGGTTCACACTCTGCTTGAGTACACCAGATCTTCATAATTATGTCCAAGTATCTGTTACATGTCACACATTTTAATGTTACACTGGAAAACAAGCCTAAGTCTGAGGAGATAAACAGCATATTTTAGCTATTTTTGCTGGAAACAAGATACAACTCACACCTGTTTTAACATAGACATAAAATTTCATGAAACCAATCTCCGCGTATCCGTTCCACTTTTTAGCTTTTCTAAAGTTTCTGTCTACAAGTATGATCAGCAGCTGTAACTGTGGCACATCCTTAAATACACTAAAGTTATGAATTAATTATTTAAACACAAAAATATTTTAAATATAATATTACACAACCATTTATTTCCATTTGTGAGATATTTATTGTTTTATACACTACTCTTATTTTAACTGCTTTTTTTTTTTTACTGTAGTTTATTGTTGTCATTGTTTACAGTTTACTGTTATCGTTGTCTGTACTTTTTATGTTCTGTCTGGAACAGGTCCCTATTGTAAATGAGTCTTTGTGGCTCAATGAGATTAGCCTGTATAAATAAAGGTTGAATGAATGAATAATTAAAAAAAAAAAAAACATTTTTTGTGCACTATAGATGAAAACATTTGATTGAAATTTTCACTACTGGGAAAGAATTGAGTCACTTCACAATGGACCTCATGAAGAACAACTGAACGTTTTAAATTAAGCTAAAGTCCAGACTTACTCGTGTTGTCTGCAGTGAAAACACAACACTTTGTATTTCACTCTGTGTCATACTGGTTGTAGTGAAGGTGACAGTTCTATCCAGACCATTTAGAGTCACCGCCATCTGAGGCTTCCCATCACGTGTCTGTATCCTCCACAGGTCCCATTCCTCCATAGTTACTGATCCTTTATACCGCAGCGTGGCCACGAAAACATATGATGGAGGCAGACCATCAGGGAAAAGGCTCCTGATTGACCAAACAGAAAAATGTGAGTACATTTTGTTTATAAGGCACTTAAATACAGGTACATAGCATGCTAGGTGCTTGACAGTTACAGGAAATAAAAGGGTAAAAATAATCAAATAAACAGGAAGAAAAATGTAAAATAAAAAAAGCATAATTAGAAAAATCTAACAATAAGCTTGTCTGAATAAAAATGTCTTTATGTACTTTTAAAAGGACTCAAATTTGTCAATCAACACGGAAACAAGGAAAGTTTATTTCACAGTCATATCTGCCTGAGCTTCAAATTAAATTTAAGGAAACCTCAAATTATCTTTGGTTAGATGAGCTGAAGGACTGAGAGGAAGTGCAATGCTTTAGCAGGTATTTTTGCCTTTTTACACATAAATGTTACCACTAGTATACATGCATATACATTATTGTGAATTCTAAAAGTAACCAGTGAAGAAACAATAGGGTAAGTGTTTGGATTTGTTAAAGTTTAGAGCCTTGCTGTGATGTTTTGTAGCAGCTCAGGATGGATACCTTTAGTTTATCTTTTGACACTTGTTTTCTTAATTTTGAAATATATTTCAGGTTATAAAACAGTTTCTAACCATCTGTTTGGAATTACTGACATTTACTGGACAACACACGGGCTACTGTAAGTTTCTCAGACTTGATCAGCTGAGTTTTAAATGTCAATTTGTATTGACGTCTCTTCTTGGAGTTTGACTGAAGAGGTTTTTTTTTTTAAATAATAATTGTTCATGCTTGAAAAGCAACACAATACATTTGATAAGTTATGCTACTTGAAGTCCTCATATAAGAAGAAAAAATGGGATTTTAAACTTTTCTAAATTTATACATATTCTGTTCAAGAGAACATGTATAGATCAAGAACAGAAGATGTCCAAAAACAGAGCCTTGGGGAACTTTACACAACAGAATGATCTGGTTTATATAAATATGTAAAATCTGTAAAAAAAAAAAAAAAAAAAAAAACCAAGCAAAACAAAAAAAAAGACATATCATCCTTGAGAAGCATACAAAATTCCCAGAAAATGTAGTTCATTTCAGTACACCATAAAACACAATCAAAGGAAGTGATTACCTTGTAGCTTCGCTTAAGTCATCCCGATGTGTCACTTCATATGCCTTAGTGCCATAAAAGGCTCCTTTTGTTTTCTTGTTTTTTCTAGCCAAATTTAAGCTTAGAAGAATATCAAAGCCCTTTTCATCACGAGAATCTACAGGAATTCTGGCCGGGCAAACAGTCTCTGTATAACAGACAAACACAGAAATAGACTAGACTATCATAGAATAAAAAGATGAGACACAATCGATCAGATGTTGCTTACCTTCACATAGTTTCTGACGTATGACCTGTATAATCCTTGAAATAGCTTTGTAGTCCACAACAGAAAAGACGTACGTCGAAAATGGTTTGTTGGCAATGTCCCTCAACTCTGCTTCTTCTGTTTCTGGCCCAACGCCAATTGCAAATAAGATTACTCCTCTTTTTCTTGCTGCCTCAGCAGCTTTAAGGACCTCATCTTGAGACTTCCCATCAGTGAGGACAACAGCAATTCTAGAAACACCTGCTGGGCCTCGCTCAGAAAGTCCAAAGAGTTTGTCTGTGGCAAACTTAATGGCTGTCCCAGTCCTCGTGTTTCCTCCCATGTACTCTATTGACTCCATGGCTTTGATGAGGTCTTTGTTTGTGGAATGCTTCCCCAGAGGTATTTCTAACATGGGATCATCACTGTACTGGACCACTCCAACCTGAGTAAACGTCTGTCCAATGTTGAAGCTGGTCGTTATGTTGACAAGCCATCGCTTCACTATTTCAAAGTTGACATCTTCAACGCTCCACGAGCCATCTAGAATGAAGACCAAGTCACATGGTGCAGTCCTGCAGCCTTACAGGAAATAGAAAACGGTGATAATATGAATTCATTAAACTGTACACAGTTTGGTTTCAAATGAATTTGAGGATGTAAAATCATCAATGCCACTTGTGATTATGAAAATTAACGAAGTATAAAAAAATGTCATAGAGATCAAAACAAGTGGTGCTCTTACTTCTTAAGTCTTCATCTTGAGCTGTGCTGGTCAAGAGGAGAAGCATGAAGCAGAGGCCTCTTAAGACACAATGCATGGAGTTCGCTTTGTGGCCCATCATGCAACAGTAACAGTTTTCAACTGTGCACCTAGAAAGAAAAAGTAAACGCTGTCTATTACATGGAAAAAATAAGAAATATGTGTGTATTTGGAACATGGAACCAGATGTTATTCGTTTTAATATTTAGGTCAAAATATACATACAATGTGGGTTTTTTTACTAGCTGTACAACTTTATCAAACAATGTGATGACTGAAATGTAAAAAAAAAATTAAGAATCATGGTTAAAAAAACATTGTTTCATTTTTATTTTCCCGATACCTGTACAACCAAAATAAATCACCAGTAACTGATGCCCTACTGCAGCTGGAAAAATACTAAGATAAGATAAGATAAGATAAGATAAGATAAAATAAGATAAGATAAAATTCCAGTCGGGTTTTTAAAATCAGGCCATAGCACAGAGACAACCCTTTCAAGAGTCTTTAATGACCTTCTTTTAACCGGTGATGCAGGAATCTCTGTTGTTTTAGTGCTTTTAGACCTTTCTGCTGCCTTTGATACTGTGGACCACAACATCTTGTTGTCACGACTTGAGCAGGTGGTCGGTATCAAAGGCACAGCTTTATCCTGGTTTAGATCCTACCTGACTGACAGGAGTTTTTCTGTTCATTTAGGGGAATGTTCTTCATGTCCAGCTCCTATGATCTGTGGGGTCCCTCAAGGGTCTATTTTAGGTCCACTGCTTTTTAATCTCTGCATGTTGCCTTTGGGGTCCATTTTTAGAAAACACAACATCCCATTTCATTGCTTTGCTGATGACACTTAGTTATATCTTCTGATTGAGTCAGACAGGGTCACTCCACTGGATCCACTCTTGAACTGTCTAAATGACATTAAAGTCTGGTTAAAACTAAATTTTCTGAATGTAAATGAAAATAAAACAGAAGTCCATCTTTGGTAAATGTAACACCCTTGACACTCTTGGCCCCTTTGCTTCATACAGCCACTCCAATGTCAGGAATCTGGGAGTTATTTTTGATAGTGCTTTTAAATTAGACATGCAGATAAATGCAGTTGTGAAATCCAGTTTCTTCCAGCTAAGACTCATTGCCAAGGTGAAGTCTTGTCTCCCTTTTAAAGACCTTAAAAAAAGGTGATTCATGCTTTTATTACCTCTCGTTTGGACTACTGTAATTCATGGTATGTTGGTTTAGACAAATCATCTTTGCATCGCTTACAATCTGTCCAAAATGCAGCAGCTCGTTTTTTTAACAGCAACTAAAAAATATGAACACACAACCCCTGTCCTGGCTTCTCTCCACTGGCTTCCTGTCCACTTCCGGATTGATTTTAAGATTTTATTGCTTGTTTTTAAAGTCTTAAAAGGTCTGGCCCCATCTTATTTATGTGATCTTATTAACATATACTCTCCAGTAAGAGCACTCCGGTCTACCAACCAGTTCCTCTTAGATGTCTCCAGATCCAAACTGAAATCCAGAGGTGATTTGCGGTTGCTGCTCCAAAATTGTGGAACAGTTTACCCGAGAATTTAAAGACCGCTCAAACTGTTGCGACTTTTAAATCTTTGCTGAAGACTCATTTGTATTCCTTGACATTTGATCCACGCAGAATCTGAGAACAAATTTTGAGCTGATTTTATTGTTGTTGTGTATTTACTGTTAACTTTCTTATGTTTTTGAGTGGCACTAGATGCATTTTTTACTCTTTTTATCTGTCTTAACTGTAAAGCACTTTGGTCAGCTTTTGTTGTTTTTATGTGCTATATAAATAAATTGACATTGACGAGATGAGACGAGACAAGATGAGATAAGATAGAACTTTACTGATCCCGCAGGAAACTGTTGTGCCAGAGTTTCAATACAAAGGAACATACATAAGGAATCAAGCAAGATATTCAAAACAGAGAATAAAAAATAAAAAAATAGTATTATAATTAAGTACTGCAATGTAATTAATTATTGTAATTTATTGTAATTATTGTAATTAAGTATTGTAATAACAGTATGAATGTATGTACATAATTGTATGTATGTTCAGAACAGCTTCAAAGTACCTTTAACAATAACTCTACCACGCCACATTTGGGATCTCCAGAGGAATGCAGCACATTTATTTTAAATGACTGATGTTTAAATGGTGCCAAGAGTTATCCTAAAGGCTATATGTCATCCAAAGTGTCCTATACATTCTGAACTGGGTTGGGAAGAGGTGTCCGTGAGAAGAGGAGCATATGTTTTCCATTATTTTTATACCATCAAATCACTGAGTCATCCCTGTGAATGGGCCTGTTGCTCTCTTGTAGAAGACGTTAACCATAAGAAGACATGCATCATCATGAGAACAAGGGTGAATATTCAAAACTATTTTGTAATGGCCTGCAGTAACCTTCGTCTACAGGGAGACAAGAAGACAAAAACCATGCCAGTGAACTCTTTCATAAGCATCATAAACCCTCAGATTTCCTAACTGCAACAAACAAAGGTTCAAATAATTCCTTAAACCCATCATCTTTTACTTTTCCCACAAAAAAGCATGGATAAATCTCTCTGAGAGTTACTGCCAATCACATTAACCTTTACTTTCTCATTTCATCCTCCATCAGACCATGACTGTGCAAAAATTTATTGACTTGCATCACTAATATTCTCACAGCGTATGTACATTAATCCTCGCTGCATTGCATCTCCACTTCATTCCTAAAGCCTCATCTACCACATCTTTACATAGTACTGTCAGCCGCTTTAAATTAACAGCTTCCTCAATCTCTGATCACAAATCCCCTCCAACCATAAAGTTGTCTGTTTCCTGTAGGGGTTTTCAGCTGTTTCCTTAAATCACCACCTTCTCTTGGCTCAAACACAACACCGCTGCCCAGAAATGCTCCACTCATACTCTTTTTCTCCCTCTGGGATGAAACTAATTGTGTAACTTTCCTCCGAACATAGGAACAGTTTCTTCCCCTCTGCTGTTGGACTCCTGAACACTCATAATGCTACCTCATAATTTCTGCTTTGGTCACATTACATCTGTATTATAATTGAATACTCCATCTGTACTGTTTTCAAAGCTTTTTTTTTTTTAGTTTTTTTTATTGTTTTCTATTGTATGGGTGTACATATGGTTATGTTATGTTTTTAATTTTACTTTATTTGTGGGTGTACACAGGTCTTATGTCTTATGTAATGTTCTCATTTTTACTTAATTTTTACTTAATTTTTACTTTATTTTACTTTATTACTATTCGCACCTTATGTCGAAGCAAATTCCTAGTTTGTGAACCTCGTTCATTGACATGGCGATAATAAACTGATTCTGATTCTGATTCTGAACATGAAGTCATTTAAAGCAATGGCTGCTATGTATGCTAAAGGATATGAGTGGTTGCATCATCAGGTGTGCCGTTCTTGGGTTAAAAATCCTTTATGAGCTTGTCAAAATGTTTTTAAAATGCTGGCATGGCTGAATAGAAGTGAAATTGATAGTTTGAGAAGAAAGACAGGTTTAAGATTTGATTTGCATCCATATTTCTTACTCTTTTTTTGCTCTTCTCTCTACTATTTTAACTTATCAAATCTTGTTTTTATGTAAACTTGACTGCTAGAATTATTTAGGATTTGAAAGTGCAGGTCTGATTGTCCCCAGTCCACATCTGCACAGCATAATCCTGCAGGTTAAAACAATGGGGAAGCTATTTTAACAAGGCAGTCAAAAACACGATTTAATGTATAATTTGTACATTTAAAAACGTGTGATATATTTGTAAAATGTTCAACATTTTAGTGACTAAAAAAAACCCACAATAGTAGCTGCCAACATTTGTTAGTAAACCGAGATATATTGCTGTGGAGAATTGCAAGTGAGCAAAAAACAATCAGTGCAAGTTGTTTGTCTTGCTGCTTAATTTTTTTACAGCAGTTTCCAACATGTGAAACTACTGACATTCCTGATTGGAAGCAGTTGCATATGAGCACCAGGCATGTTGCACAATATAAAATACTTGAACTTGACAGGGGAGAAGTGACCGTGCACCTTTTAGTTAATTCAGATGGAGATTCGTGTGCCTGAAACAATGGCCAGGATAACCGTTGGCCAATCAAATCTATTCCAGAAGAAGCAAACAGGGGTCAGTCTCTGCAACATGACTGGATTTTTCCACCATGTAAAGTCAGCGTGGAAGTACAACGCAGTCAGAGGGGGCGTTGAGGCGCTGTAGTTGTGTAAGTCGTTTTCCTCCACATTTTTCCCCACCAGAGACCAGGAGGAGGTTGTTGGAAAACCCCCTCGTTGGCAACATCCAGCCGCTGGGATGACTTTCCCCTCGACTGACTTTCCCCCAAACGGAGCTTTTCTGCACCTCTGCTCAGGCCACATGGATTTCATTTATGCCTTCAGACAGTGAAACTCCTAACTGTGATTCAACACATGTAGTCCTGTTGAAGGGAATCATTCTTCATCCATGAATAAAAATGCAAACATTGCAGGTGCAGAGCTTTCAGGCTTACAGTTGTATACTCTGAACCGACAGGTGCATATGTATGTACAGCAGGTCGTAAGTTATAGGGCAGCATTTCATTAGTTTCTGAGTCATGGCACAGATTTATTGAAAGTATCAAAGTCAAAATGATTCTTCACTCGCAATTTGACTTACTGTACTTTTGATCTTGTTCTGGGCTATTGTTTTTGTTCATTTTTAATTTAAGAATTGAATATACTGTAATTAAAACAAATTTTACGTAATTTTTAAAACATTACAATTTACA